CGAGAATCGGAATGAATCCCAACTTGGCGCTCGCGGCGCGGACCAGCCGCCTTTCGCCCCCTCACATCGATTTTTGCTTTCGCGTTTCGGCGCCGTCGGGCTCGGGGGGGCGTCGGCCGTGGCCCGTGGGGGGCACGGGCCACGGCCACACGGTGACGGGGGATCCAACTCTCAGGGGGCCACACTCGACGGGGGATCCAACTCTGAGTAAGGCACCCGGGAAAGATTGGTTCTCGCCCCTGTAACTATTGATATTGATTATTGACAGCATCCCCTCTAACTATTGACAATATATTGACATATTGATCGCTGATTTTAACCTCCAAGAGCACCAAATGTCGACATTTGTCCCAAACATCGAACGCCTACATGTGGGCTGAAATAAAAAAAATACGAGTTTAAAGCGATTTTCATGCGATTTAAGCGAGTTTGAAGCGATTTGGGCCCCCGTTTTGAACGATTTAGAGCCACTTTCAAGCCCGGGATGGGCCCCCATATTGATATGTTGAGTCCAACCTGACGGTCCTGACCCAGCCCAGGCCCAGCCTCCTCTAACTATTGCAATACATATATTGATATTGATCGCATCTCTAACTATTGCAGCAATATATTCAATATTTCCCGGGTGCCTTAACTCTGAGAAAGGGGGGGCGGTCCAACTCAGAAGTCAGATCCGGGATGGCCGGGCTGTCTCGCCAAGCTGCAGAAACAAGCTTTCAGTGCCTACAAGTGTAGGCACTGGATTATCGTGCGCGCGGAGCGCGCTGGGGACACACGCGCGGAGCGCGCTAGCTGGACACACGCGCGGAGCGCGCTAGCTAGACACACGCGCGGAGCGCGCTGGCTAGATACCGCGCGGAGCGCGCTGGCACCTATGTGCGCGGAGAGCGCACCGCGGTACCGGTAGAGTCTAGACACATGAAGACAGTCTGTTGCAGTCAGTTGTGGCCACGCTGCTTCGAAGCTGGCCTGACGTCGTAGCACGCGTCTGGCAGACGCTGTGTCTCTGCCTTCTTCCGCGTCATGACCACACCCCGCTGCAGCGAAGCTCCAATGCCGCCCCTCTGTGCATGTGACCTGTCGTTGTGGTGAAAGCGGTCTTTCCAGTTGAGCCCGCTCCAGTTCTCGAGCGCACGGTTGATGAAGGGCACGGCGACGGCCGCATGTAGCGCCCGGAGACACGCGCGGAGCGCGCCGCTGCAGAACACGGTCGCGCGGAGCGCGCCGCTGCACAGGCGCGGAGCGCCGCCACTTGAGATTGGGCCTGTGGGTGGGCAGAGTGGTTCCTAGCGTGTGAGTCAACTCTTAATAGAAATATCGCACCTAGCCCTCCTCAACCCTCAAAATTTTCGTCGGGCGCGCTCCGCGCGCGGCGCTCCGCACCTGACTCCTTGAGGTTGAGCGGCGTGTGTACGGCTCTCTAGCTGTAGGCCTGCCGCTGGCTCGCACATGTTCTGCAGCTTGGGGCTGTCTGATTTCGCCTCGTCCCTCGATCGCAACACCAACCTACAAGCTAATCTAAGGGGCCGCCGCGCTGGCAATGGACACTCAAAGTTGGCTGCCTCCACACGAGACGCCACACGAGGCTCACAAACACCATCTCTTTACCACACGCCCGAAGCGAAGGAGGCGAAGGGGTGCGTGGAGCTGCGCAAAGTGGCGCTCGTGAGGTAGCGGTCCCACTCGGCGCCGTCGCCCTCCTCGCTCGCCGGGCTCGCGTACTTTTCGATGGTGACGACGTTGGACGTGTCCGTCGGGTGCGCGATCTTCGGCCGGAACGGGGCGGGCGTGCTGCGGCTGCGCAAGCTCGACCACGCGATCGCTGCGAAGAAAGGCGCGTCGCAGACCTCGTCCGCCGCGCAGAGCCGCTGCTCGGGAGCCTTGGCGAGCAGACCGGCCAGCAGAGCGTCGCACTCGGCGCTGCTCTTGAAGAGCAAACGCGGAGCCTCGACGAGGATCTTGCGGTACACCTCTGCCGGGTCGGCGCTGCGGAAGGCGGGCACGCCGGCGAGCATCTCGAAGAGCAGCATGCCTGTGCTGGCAGCTGGAGGCGTGAAGAGACGCTCTTCACAGCCACAGGCCGATCTCGAGGAGCAGCACGCCGAGCGCCCACCAGTCGACGGAGAAGCTGTACGCCTCCCCCCGCACCATCTCGGGGGCGAGGTACTCGGGCGTGCCTACAGGCAATCTCGGGTACTCTCGGGGGGCTCTCCCGCCATTTCGGGGGCGAGAGGCTCGGGCGTGCCTGTCGGGGTTCGCTCTGCCGCGGCTGCATCACGGCTACATCTCGGCTACATCTCGGCTATCTCTCGGCACATCGCGGCTGCATCTCAGCTGCATCTCAGCTGCATCTCGGCTACGTCTCGGCTATCTCTCGGCTCTCTCGCGGCTCTCTCTCAGCTATCTCTCGGCTGCATCTCGCCGCAGATAGTCGAGGTCCGCTCTGCGGCGTGCACCTCGCCGTCGTCCGCGAGGGGCCGCAGCCGCTTGGCGAGCCCAAAGTCGACGAGCTTGAGGTAGCCGACGCCATCGACGAGCAAATTCTCCGGCTTGAGGTCGCGGTACACGATGCCGCTCACCTGCACGGGAGGTGTCGGGGACAGGTGTCGGGGAGGTGTCTTGGAGAGGGGTGCGGTACGCACGGTGCCACACGCGTCGTGCAGGTGGCCGAGCACGTCGGCGACGCACGCGGCGTAGAAGCGGGCCTGCCCCTCCTCGAGGCGACCCAGCATGTGCAGCACCGCATACAGCTCGCCGCCGAGGACCTGTTCACACCTAGAGGTGTGAAGAGGCGAGAGGGGAGAGGTGCGCACGCGTGCCGCCGAGGACCGGCTCTAGCAGCAGGAACACGCGCCGCGCGTCCTGGAAGGAGGCCTCGAGCCGCACCACTGCGGGGTGGCTCACCTACATGGTCAAAGCAGGGAATCGTGGCACACCTACATGGTCACCTACATGCCTCGGGGCAGGGAGTCGTGACTACGAGTCGCTACGAAAGCATCGACTGCGGCGGAAGACTACGGCGAACCACAGTGGGGTGCGTGTCCTCTCGAGCGCTAGTCGGAAGGCCAGATTCAGCTCACCGACGCGAGCAGCTCACGCTCGCGCACCACGGCACCGACGCTGCCGGACGCGATCAGCTGCCCCTTCCAAAGCGACTTGAGCGCGTGCGGCTGCCCGTGCACGTCCGTCACAAGGGAGACGCACCCGAACTGGCCCGCACCAAGCCCCGCGACACGGCGGAGGCTCGAGAGGGTCTGCAGGTAGAGCGAGCGCCTCGCCGCGACCTCGCGCACGCCCGCCGTCGCCTCGTGTGGCGGCGACCCGGCCTACTTCAAAGACGAGAGCGGCGGCTAGCGACTCCGCTGCCGTACTCGTCGCCTCGGCCGGGCGGCGAGTCGGCCTACGCCGATCACAAACCAGCCCTCGTCAATACGGGTGGGACGTGTACACGGTCACGGACGTGACGTGTGGCGGGTCGGCCTGTGTCCACACCGCGGCGCGCAGCTCGTCCAGCCGCGAGCCGAGCGCCTGCGTGGTGTCGTTCTGTTTTGCGCGGTGCACTTCTACCGTCGTCCAGCCGCCAGCCGAGCGCCTCCAACCCCGCGTGGCCCGTGGTCGCACTCTTGGCCAACGCGGGCGGCCTCTGGCCCTCAGGCATCGCCCGAGATTGGCCGTCAGGCATCGCATTCGGCAGCGACGCGACGCGCCGTGGCCCGCTGGTTGGGCCGCCACCGCCGTCGGGCACGTCGATGCGCACGCCGCGGCTGCTCGCTGGCGCGCGGCCCCCGCTTCCTCCGCCGCCTCCGCCGCCGCCGCCGCCTCCGCCTCCGCCTCCCCCGCCGCCTCCGAGGTGGCCCGAGATTGCCCGAGGTGGGCCGAGATGGCGGCTGCCGGCGGTGGAGGGGGAGGAGTTGCGGCAGGAGGAGGAGGAGCCGCGGCTGCCCATTCGCTCGTCGAGCGTGAGGTGCGCCTGTTCACTCACCACTCACCAT